TCCTGAGGGAACAAATTTGGAGGAACAGCTCAGGAAGAACTTGGTTTTTAATGCTCTGGCTGGGATGTCACACACCACACCACTTTCTAAGTTCATTTTGGTAATTGGAATCTTATAAATGTCCCGTTGAATCATCTCACCTAGGGGGGCCTGGGAAGAATTGCTTCCCCTCACTCCATTGGGCTCTTTAAATAGCAATGCATGCATTTCTTACTTAAAGAAAACTAGAAGTACTTTAAAAATCCAGATTTCCAAGCAAGTACACTAGAGAATGATGGTTAACTTTGTAGAAGAGATCTTTAAGTAGCAAGTGACTTCAGGTAAATTGCTTTACAACAAATGTGCCTCTTTTTTTCTACCACCCTTGAATTGGAAAAACTGTATCTATTATCCTTTTACTTCTAAGGACTTCGGGAATTAGTTCCAGGCAAAAATGAGTTCTAACAGTTAAACCTAGAAATGGGCTTCTAGCTCTTTCCTTAGAAACTTCCTTTTGTCCAACAGTGTGTATCATTTCAGTCATTTCCACTATAGACAAGAGTCCTATTCTTAGAGTTTTGGCTGGTAGATAACTTTTCCAGTTTTGGGAGACAGGCAACAGCCAGCCAGCCAACCTGTCCTGGTGGCCCAGATAGGGGGGTTTAGTACTGGGCATAGTTTTTGTACCTGCTAATGGCTGGTTGGGTGACTTGGCTTTTTGTGCCTCAGCCACCGTGACTGAGAAGTTGCATCCTTCACTTTCCCCTTGCACTTGAGTGATGTCTTGAATTCTGAGCTGAAGGAGGCTGCAGTCCAAGCTGAGGCTCATCTTAGTCCTGTGTTTTATGGGCAGGGTGAGGGGGACCTGGCGGAGACGACGGGGTGTGAGTGTGTGAATGTCATTCCCTTCCTTTGGGTTTGAAGGTCTTTGGGAGGCTGATGACTTTCTCAAGACTGGAACATAGAGAAAGCCTTTGGAGTTTTTTTTTAGAGATTTCCAACAGGAGTTTCCAGAATCCACTTGCTACTGTTCACTGGTTTAAAACTACACCAGAATATGCCTTCAGAGTTCACAGTGGTCTGAGAGAACTTGAACACAGCATTAGCTTTCAGTGAATATCCGTGGAGTGTTGTTGGCTTCCTGCAGCCCCGCATCCCACTCTCGCCTGCGGAGGCAGTTCCGCTGGCTGCTGAGTTCCATGTCATGCTCCGAAACGTGCTGACCTTCCTTCCTGGGGGACAGGACACTACCGAAGGGTGTTGTTATTGGTAGGGCAGCCTTGGCTGTGATCTGTCAACACTCCCTCACGCTGGGTCTTTATTGAGCAATGACAAACTCAAGACCCTGAGGTAGTCAACAGGGCTCATTATCCTCTCCTCGAAATTTTTCCTTTGGCTACCGTGACACCATACTTGCCTGGTTGGTGTCTTACCTCTCCAGCCATCGTCTCGGTTTTCTCTGTTGGTCCTTTGTTTTGAGCTTTAAGTAGCTGAGTTCCTCGAAGCTCAGTCTTAGACATTTTTCTCTCTCTGCTTTTCTTCTTGCTTTGTGTTTTTTTCTACTTTCCTAGATAATTTCATTCTCACCTATTTAGCAGATATCCTAACCTTACATGTATAGTTCCTACTTCTCTTTTGAGCCCTAAACACATGTATTCAACTGTCCATCTGACACATTCTCCAGAAGCCCCACAGTCTTCCTAAATTTAATAGAGAGAATCTTCCCCCTGCTCCACTGCAGCCCACCTCTTAGGTCAGAAACGTGAGAATGGTGCTCAGCATCTCTCCTTTCTCATTCTCCTACAGTTCCAACAATGGGTAAGTCCTCTTAGTTAGATCTTTAGTATTTCTCAGATCCCCACCTTAGTTTAATCATCCTGTCTCTCCCTTGGTAGCTGATCAGCCTCTGAACTAGTTTCCTGGCAACAATTTTTGCATCTCTGTATTACCACCCCACCCCCGCCACCCCCCATGTCCCCCGCCCCCTTCATTGCCCAGCCCTCACAGATACTTCACTCACCAGCTTCTTCCTTCCTTCCTTCCTTCCTTCCTTCCTTCCTTCCTTCCTTCCTTCCTTCCTTCCTTCCTTCCTTCCTTCCTTCCTTCCTTCCTTCCTTCCTTCCTCCCTCCCTCCCTCCCTCCCTCCCTCCCTCCCTCCCTTTCTTCCTCTTTATTTCCTTCCTTCCATCTCTTCCTCCCGCCTTCCCTCCCATCCTTTCTTCTTGATGATTTTAAGTTTTATTTGTGTTTTCCTTATATAAAAAGATCTTTTCAACTGTTTATTTTGAAATACTTATAGCATCCTATAAAGCTATTAAATATATTACGGAGAGGTCACATGTACCCTTCTACCAGCTTCCTCCCCTGCTAATATCTTACATAATTACTTCAATATCAAAACCAATCAACTGACATTGATGCAGTTGCAGATCTTATTCCTATTTTATTGGTTTTACTTGCCCACCCACTGTACACTTATGTGTATGTGTGTATAATCTATGCAATCTTGCCGTATACATTACCACCACCACAGTGCGGCATACAGAAGTGCTTCATCACCCCAAAGATCTCTCATGCTAAAGTACCTTCCTTAAAAAACACAACGTGATCCAGTCCCTTCTTTACTTAAAACCTTTTAATGACTTCAAAGCTCCAAAGCCTTAATAAATAAGGGCTACTAACACCTGTGTAATTTGGCTCTGATGACCTCACTGGCCGCTTCATGCCTTTCTCCTTTGCTCACCACGCCTCTGCCCGTGGCCTTTCTCTTCCCTTCAGTGAGCCCAGCTTCTCCGCTGCTCAGAGCCTCGGGGTCCCCGCATGTGCTGTTGTCTCTGCTTGGAACGCTCCCCTCTCCTGCACGGCCAACTCTTCACCTGTCTCGAGATGTTTCCTTGGCATCTTGGACTAGGTTAGGCTCGCCTATGGTTTATTTTCATGGCCAATTATGATTTCCCTTAACGGCACCTACCACACAGTTGTAGATAAATATATAGGTGTATACTTCATTAATTTGAGTTGTCTCTAATTAGAGGTGTTTGGGGTATCCTACTCACCACTATATCTTTTCTGTCTAGTGCAATGGCTGGCCTAACAGGTGCTGAGTAAACCCTCATTAATGAACAAATTCACAAGTTATTATTGGAAGCTGGCTGGCTGTGGCCTCGAGGCCATGGAACTGGGCAGAGTCAACTTGCTTCTACGGGTATCTGCTCTACAGACTCATCTACAACCTTCCCAAGGGGGCCCTGTTGGAGAACCTGGGCATGTATGGCCCATACCACTCAGAAGCTCGAACTGGTATTTTCTCTCCTATTCCAATCCCAGGATTCTCTTTGAGAGACTGGACCAGGGGACAGCCCTGGCCAGTGTTCTCTTTAGACAGATCTCGGAGATGCTTTCACGAGCATCAGCGGGATGTTCATCCAGGCTTTTAATGCCAGTCGTCTTTCTCTTCGGGGTCACTGCCAAGGTGTCACTTGGAGAGGGTTATTAGTCCAGAGCTGCGGGGGTCTCTAGGTTGGATGGCATCTGAGAAGTCCTTGAAAAGCTTTCAGATCAGCGCTCTCCTCGATATTTCTGCCTGCTCTTTGCTAAGTGGCTCCCCTTCCCCCATCAACGAGTCCTTCCCATGCCCACTCTTACTCTCTGAGATAACAGCGTGGTGTGTGTTTGTGGAGTCCAGACTTGAAGGGTCCTCGTGTTGACGGAATAGACGTGTGTATCCCAAGTGACCAAGATGTAACTAGCTCCCTGAGGATTTGGAAGGGAGGAAATGGGGGCCTTGTGCTGGGACATGGCTTTGCCAAGGGGTGGTGGTGCCACAGGGGGTCCTGACCCCCAGTGTGGGGCACTGGGCTGGTGAAACTAATTAGCCACACTCCCTCGTCCCCTGTCTCTAGCATCGTTCTTTAGAAGTACATAATCCTGCGTGTGAAAGGGGCAACACAATGTACTATGTGCTGGATTTGCAGGGCTGGAGCTCTGCAGAAGTGTGAACCCCCGCAGCAGGCACAGCTGTCATTTCTTCTGTGACAGAGTCAGTAATGGGCCTTGCCTTGGGTTCTCAGGGCAGATTGACAGCACTGGGAAACCTGGGATCATCATCCCAGTTTCCTTTCCCTGCCAAATAGAAGGTCGAAGGTCATCACCTTCTGTGGGTCAGAGCTGTTCTCTCACTGCCGGTGTCTCTCTTTTGGGTGAACTATGGCTGAGAACAGAGCCCAGCTCTGCGGGCTAGGCCTCAGTATTGGTCCACTGGGGCTGTGGGCTCTAAGATTACAGCTTAATGTCCCTCTCCGATCCTGTTGTTGGCTTGGCTAATGTGATACTTTGGATGGAGAGAGGAGTTAGAGCCAGCAATCAGTCCTTTTAGGAGAGACCTGGCCATTGTGTCCCCTTTGCTGTGATGATGCACTTCTCAGCACTCCCTGCCAGGCCACTTCCCCCTGTGCAGGCCACAGACACAGCAAATCATGGCACAGGCATGGATGCTTCCGACCACAGTGCCCTGCCTCACAGAGCCCCTGAGCTCTGCCCCTGGAAACCTCACAGAGTCTTCCCTTGAGACAGTGGGAACTGGTCTATGGACCAGAAGGCCCCGTTAGCTTTTGTGTGTTGCTCCTGCCACAGTTGATGCTGGGGCTGGGAGATAATGGTGACTCTCGCCGTGCTTCTGTGTGCCGTGTGCTGTGCAGTGTCCTTTCTCTCTCTGATCACTGCTTCGTCCTCATAACTGGCTACATCCCCAGGGGGACACGCTCTTAGGGCAAGAGGATTTGGATGGCATCTGTCTCTGGTAGAAGGGTTGATGCCCATCCTCTCTTCAGGCCTTGATCTGATGTAACTGTGGGTGGTAGGGGAGTGTGGGTGGGGCCCCATCCAGGTCCCTAGTTTGTTTCCCAACATATGCAACCTCCACCTCCCTCCAAGTTGGGCATAAATGTGTTTTTAGTTAGTTGTGATGAGAAATGACAAGTCAGACCCTCTGGCCCTAACACCGCCATTTCTGCTTCCCCTAGGTCACCCGACCTGCCTGCAGTTCACCCTGAACATGACTGAGGCCGTCAAGACCTACAAGTGGCAGTGCATAGAGTGCAAATCCTGCATCCTCTGTGGGACCTCGGAGAATGATGTGAGTGTCGGGCTTCCCCCCGGGAGCGGGAGCGAGAAATCCGTGGAGCTGGGAGTCCTTTGAGGCATGGAGGGGAAAGCAGGACTTGCACAACTGGGTTCTGAAGAAAGTGTCGGTTGGGACCTTCCCCTCTGACCCCAGAACACTTGGGGCCGTTGCACCACCAGGACCTTGGTTACCCTCAGGAATAGATTATATGAAAAATGCAGGACAGCCCTGGCTGGTGTAGCTCAGTGGATTGAGTGCGGGCCTGTGAAGCAGATGGTCACGGTTTGATTCCCAGTCAGGGCACATGCTGTTGCAGGCCAGGTCCCAGCAAGGGACACGCGAGAGGCAACCACACATTGATATTTCTCTCCCTCTCTCCTTCCCTTCTCCTCTAAAAATAAATGAATAAAATCTTTAAAAAAATTCAGGATAAACACTTGATTTGTTTCCTTTATTTATTAGTTTTCAAAATAACAGGGTGGTTTCAATACCTATTCATGATTACAACACTCAAGAAAATAGAAATTGTAGGATTCTTTCTTAATATGATACATTTTTTATACCTTAAAAATAAGGCCATTATCTTACTTATGGGGAAACACTAGAGGCATTTCTACTAAGATCAGGAGCCAGATAAAGATGCCCACTGCCTCTACCGCTTTCATCATTTATTTTAGAGAGATTATTAGCTAATGCAATTAGAAAAATCAATCACAGGCAGAAGATGGTAACCAAGTAGTAAAACTCTATTTCTTTTTTTTTTAGTTAAACTCTATTTCATTAACTATAATTGTGTATCTGAAGAAACCAAGAGAATCAATGATAAAGGTAACTCAAACATTAAAAGTAGCAGGATATGAAATTACCATGCAAAAATTAATAGCCTTCATATGCACAAATAATAACCAGTTAGAGGACGTAATAGTAGAGAAACTCTACTTGCAATAGCAACAAAGAAGGAATACTTAGAAATAAGCCTAACAGTAAACGTGTAAAACTTATATAAAGAAAATTTTAAAACACCTCTGAAAAAAATACAGAGGTAGTCTTGAGCAAGTGGAAAGACATTGTGTGAGCTTGAATAGAATGAATCAACATTATAGCCCTGGATGGTGTGGCTCAGTGGATTGAGTGCCAGCCTGCAAACCAAAGGGTCCCTGGTTCAATTCCCAGTGTAGGGCACATGCCTGGGTTGTGGGCCAGGTCCCCAGTAGGGGGCTCTTGAGAGGCAACCACACATTGATGTTTCTCCCCTTCTCCTTTCCTTCCCCTCTCTACAAATAAATGAATGCATGAACGAATAAATAAATAAATAAATAAATAAATAAATAAATAGATAGATAAAATCTAAAAAAAATGAGTCAATATTATAAAGATGTCAGTTCTTCCTATGTTAATTTGTAAATTTAATTCCCAATGAAAAAACCAGTTTTTTAAATGGAACTAGATAAATTGATACTGAAGTTCATATGAAAAAAGCAAGCATGCAAGAATAGCTAAGACAACAATACATTTTGAGAGTAAACTTAGCCCTACCAGATGTTACAACATATTATAAAGCCTCTATAATTAAAACAATATAAACAACTAGACCCATGGAATAGAATAGAAACCCCATAAATTGACCCAGCTACCTGTGGACATCTTTCATAGAATTAAGGATGCATGTACAATTACTGGATGAAACACGGACATTTTTATGAATGGTGCGGGGGCAATAGGATGACCATTTGGGGAAAGACAAAATTAGGTCCACGTACTACCAAAGAACAGTCTTCAGATGGACTGCGGACCTAAATACACAGAAGTAAAATCATAGTACTAGAAGAAAACACGAGTAAATTCTTTAATCTTAATATAAGGAAAGATTTTCTGTGACTCAAAGTTCAGAAGCAATAAAAGAAAGTATTAAAAAAATTTCACCACATAAAATTTTGCATAGTGAAAAACACAGTAAAGTACATGGGCACTGGACAAACTGGGAGAAAATACTTGCATCATAAACCATAGATACAAGTCTAATATCCCTAATATATAAAGAACTCTTAACATTCGAGGGACAAGAGACCAGAAGCCTGACAGAGAATGGGGGAAGACATGGAAGACAGTTCCTAAAAGGTGCGTAAATGGTCCCAGCATTGTCAAACAAACAAACAAACAAACAAACAACAATTCAAATGTACCTATAAAGAAATTCGGATTAAAACAATATGGAGGTTCCATTGCTTTCCTTTAAATTGAAAAAACTTAAAAAGTATTACAATACATTCCACTGATGAAACTGTGGGAAAACTCATACCTTCATGCATTGTCAGTGGGAATGCAAAGTGATACAACTCTTCTGGAGGGAAATTTAACAATACCTAACATGGCTCCTACACAGTTACCTGTTGACTTACCAGTCTCACCGTAGGAATCCACACTAAAGATAGGAGTGTACCCGTGACACTATGAAAATACACCTGCAGGAGGTTATTCATGTTTGCACGGTTTATACTTCCAAAATATTGGAAACAGCCTAAATGCTCATATGTAGAATGGTCGAATAAGGATGGAACGGCCACACAATGGAGTACTATGCAGCTGTTAAAAAACCCGAGGCCAATCTTTGTGAATTAATATGGTGTGATTTCTAGGACATATCGTTAAATGAAAAAAGCAGAGTAAAAATATATCTATAATCTGCCATTTTTGTAGGAAAGGCATAAGAAAAGAGCCATATAGCTGTTCATTTGTGTAAAAGAAATACAGAAAGTATAAATAAGAAGCTAAAGAGATTGGTTATCTATAAGAGTGATAATCAGTGAGTGAGTGGGAATGGGGTAGAAAGAATGAGGAAGTTGGGGGGATAGGATGGATAAGGGGGGGACGCTTCTCTGAGAATGCCTTTCTGCACAGCTCCGCGTCTGAGAACCGGGGTGTTGTCTCACAGGCCTTATGACCGATACATACTGAGAAACAACCAGGATGTGGGGAGACCCGAAAACGGAATCCGAACAGTGACAAGTGACCCTACCTGTAACATAAATAGATAACAAAACCAACTGAAGGGTGGGGTAGGAAAGAACTAACTTAAGTACCTTTGGAAAGTAGTGTTTGTGTATTTTAGGGCTAAAAACAGAAATAGCTATACAAATTTTGTACTCTAGTGAATAAATTTGTTTGTCACAGGCATGTGAATTAGTCATTCTGAAACTACTTTACATGTGTACAGGTCTGAACTAATATGTATTGTGAATAATGAGGGTCAGGTTTCTCAGTGTCAGAGAAAAAATATTTAAATGAAGGGGAAGGCTAAGCTGAACCTGATGGTTTTGGGTTGAAATAGTGGGTAGTAGTAGGAATTTATGATTTTTAATATAATATACTACACATATTTACATATATACCTATAGTATCTGTATGTATATACATATATGATAGAAACAAAAATAAATATAGATGTGTGCATGCATACCTCCACGTTTATTACTTCCTAACTCTGTTGGCTGGGAGGGCCCAGATGCAGTGACAACCCAGATACTGGTTTCTAAGTACAGTTGACCTTTTAAATTGTTTTGTCACCCAGCTCTTTTTAAAAATATATTTTATTGATTATGCTATTACAGCTGTCACATTTTTATCTCCCCTTCATTCCCCTCTGCCCTGCACCCCTCCTTTCACTAGCATTCCCCCCATAGTTCATGTCTATGGGTCATACATATAAGTTCTTTGGCTTCTCCATTTCCCATACAATTCTTAACTTCCCCTATTTTCTACCTACCATTTATGCTTCTTATTCCCTGTACCTTTTTCCCTATTCTCCTCCCTCCCTCTCCCCACTGATAACCCTCCATGTGATTTCCATTTCTGTAATTATGTTCCTTGTTCTAGTTGTTTGCTTAATTTGTTTTTGTTTTTTGTTTTTTTTTAGGTTCAGTTACTGGTAGTTGTGAGTTTCTTGTCATTTTACTGTTGTTTTAAAGACTTTATTTATTTTTAGAGAGAGAGGAAAGGAGGGAGAGAAACAACAATGTATGCATGCCCCCTGCTGGGGTCCTGGCCCAAAACCCAGGCATGTGCCCTGACTGGGAATCAAACCAGCAACCCTTTGCTTTGCAGGCCAGTGCTCAATCCACTGAGCCACCCCAGCCAGGGCTTACTGTTCATATTTTTGATCATCTTCTTTTTCTTAAGATAAGTCCCTTTAACATTTCATATAATAAGGGCTTGGTGATCATGAACTCCTTTAACTTGACCTTATCTGGGGAGCACTTTATCTGCTCTCCTCTTCCAAATGAAAGCTTTGCTGGATAGAGTGATCTTGGATATAGGTTCTTGTCATTCATGACTTGGAATACTTCTTTCCAGCCCCTTCTTGCCTGCAAGGTTTCCTTTGAGAAATCAGCTGACAGTCTTATGGGAACTACTTTGTAAGTAACTGTTTCCTTTTCTCTTGCTGCTTTTAAGATTCTCTCCTTATCTTTAATCTTGGGTAATGTAATTATGATGTGCCTTGGTGTGTGCTTCCTTGGGTCCAACGTCTTTGGGACTCTCTGACCTTCCTGGACTTACTGGAAGTCTATTTTCTTTGCCAGATTGGGGAAGTTCTCTTTATTATTTTTTCAAATAAGCTTTCAATTTCTTGCTCTTCCTGTGTTCCTTCTGGCACCCCTATGATTCAGAATGTTTAAAGATGACCTGGAGGTTCCTAAGCTTCTCATTTTTTTGAATTCTAGTTTTTTCATTGTGTTCTGGTTGAATGTTTATTTCTTCCTACTCCACATTGTTGATTTGAGTCCCAGTTTGCATCCCTTCACTATTGGTTCCCTCTATATTTTCCTTTATTTCACTTTTCATAGTCTTTACTTTTTCCTCTATTTTGTGACCATACTCAACCAGTTCTTTGAGCATCCTGATTACCAGTGTTTTGAACTCTGCATCTGATATGTTGTCTGTCTCTTCATCACTTAGTTCTATTTTTGAGGCTTTGATCTGTTCTTTCATTTGGGATATATATATATATATATATA